CAGCAAGGGACACAGTCAGACACAGTGTAACACAGTGAATCATACGTCCTTGTTGTTTGCTTACGTTAAACAAGGATGAAACGATTCACTGTGTTACACTGTGTTTGATTGTGTCCTTGCTGGAAAGCACCCAATATGTACCAATCGAAGTTCTCCGTTTCTTTCCCTTCCATGTAATAGAGAACTCTGGTTGGTTCAATTTCTTATGTCTCATGTGTTATGCGTTATGCAAGAGTCTGTGCTAGAGACCCTTAAGTCCGAATCTACAATAGGTGTTTTATGCCTTATGCCGTAAGAAACTGACCAATTACAGTCGAATCCGAGAAGAATAAGTGACTGTGATTCGCCCATTTCTTATGGCTTAAGGCCTATCACACATGAAATACATAACAGAGCATAAGCATAACATAAGGCCTCTAAACCAATGAGCATCTTATGTAAATCAATATGACAACATTATGCTAGATGCTTATTGGTCCAGCAGTCTTATGTTACGTTTATGCTCTGTTATGCATTTCATGTGTGAAAGCCCTAAGGCTTAAAACCCTATTGTAGATCCGGGGTAAAGGTGCATTTTCATGGGCGTCAATAGACGCGCGTTAAGACGATTTTGTGACGTCATGTTAATTTCAACGTCGACGTTCAGAAGTACAGATTTCTCGACTTCTGTGTGTTGCGCGCGAAAGACGACTTAAGACCCTACGATCGCTACTTGTATTGTTAACCGCAAAAAGCTTTAAAAAGAAGCGAATGGACGATTCATTAGATGTAAATAGTAAATTAGTCAATTACATATATACTATATAGTAGTAAAATTATTTGTACACCTTCAATATATAAATGTATTGAAGAAATAAATTTGATTTCAGCTGGTAAATATTTGCGGAATTTGCGAGACTATCGTGAACGAGGCTGAAATAATTAACCACTATTGCGTAATAGGATATCCGAATATTATTGTGGATGATTCAAGATACTTTTATCCACAATGTGGTAAGTTTAATTAAAAATATTGATTTTTAAAATTTTGATTTTATGGTTAGAATTATATATTGAATAAAAAATCATAGTATCCGCCTGTATACATAGCTGAAAAGCATTAAATGTGATATAGTTCCTAACTGGAAAACTACATAGTTGGAAAGCACATAATCTTATATTATGTTACACAATGTTGCTGGAAAGTATCCTATGTCTCTTGTTGGAAAGTTTCTAGCGTCTCACGTCAAGTGAACCGTTCTGGTATATTTATATGAGAAGAAAATATTATTATTAAATCAGAACAAATCTATGTCCTGATGATTATTTGTTATCCAATAGTTTGTTATTTGTTATATTTAACATAGTAACTTGGAATGTGTATGTAATTGATTATAGAAAATGGAGATATAATACGCAAAAGTGTCCTACCAGGAGGGGTGGAAGGAATTGTTTCTGAGTCTAGAATAATACAACAGAACACTGGCGATCCCCATTCCCAGGCGATCACTTCTTTCCATGTATCTGGCGATTTAGACGAAAGATTGATTGAAGAGGTGAGGAAGCATGAGCCATTATATAACTTCCGTTTGCCCCTTTCTCAACGTGGTCGAAAACAAACAAAGCAATTGTGGCAAGATATTTCCAATGAATTAAATGGTAACGCATTTATATTATATACTTTATCTTTGTAATCAAATTATTTCAAATGAATATTTATAAGTTTTTTGTATTTCAGGAGAAATAAGCGCTGAAGGTGCCGCAAAGTATTGGAAATCATTAAGAGATACCTTTATGAAGATAATTGCTGAGGAGCGGCAGCCGAGTGGTTCCAGCAGAGTCCGACGTAAAAAGTGGCGTTTCTATGATCATATGTCCTTTGTTCGCGACACATTGTTAAATACACCGTACGTAATATTTCATATCAATATTTTGCATTATTAATAGTAATGAGCGCAATATTATTTGAAATATTTAATTTACAGAACAGTTTCAAACGAAAGCCAGCGACAATCTTTTGCCGAAGAGGATGTGTCAAGTGATTCTCAACCAAGTAAGTATTTTTTTTTTCATTTAACTCGGGAAAAGTATTTGGCAATAAAGCGGCTGTTTTCTAGTGAAGGATATATGAATGTTATCTTTGTATAGTTTACACCAACTACCAAAATTAATTTTCTCAATTATGCCTGACAGGTAAAAGTTGCAATAGAAGTTTAAAGGACTCTATTGGACGAATTGCTGAAGCTATTAGTACTCCACTGCCATCTGTGAAATTGCCACCAATACCTCATATCTCTGAATTTGATAATTTTGGTGTAGTCGTGCCAAGCAAATTAAAGAACCTTTCGAAAAGAAAAAGCAACACAATGATGTGCCAGATTTTACAATTACTTTGCAATGCTGAATTAGAAGAGAGTGATTGTGGCATGAATATGCAATAAAATATCTATATTTCGACACAAAAATGTTTATATTAAATAAGAAAGTGTTTTATATTTATCAAATAAAATGTTTATTATTTATTAGAAAATTCTATTCAAAGAATTATTACATCCTTGTACATACAAACAATATATCTCAACGACAAAATAGTACAAAAGTATAAAACTGTTAATACTACGTTGAATTTAGCGCAAAATATATCAACAATTTTGGAGCAACAAAATGTCGACGAAATGAAAGAGAAATTCCAAATAAAACTATTCCTTAGCCAACTTAAAATAAGGTCCTTTAAAAAAAATTTTATCAAGCTCCAGTTGCATTTAATTATGTTTCTTTCTTATGTTTTTATAATAATTTTATATGTAATACGCGAGAATTGTAGACATCTACTTAGTTTATATACATGAATTAATATACATGAACAATAATTCGTCCAGATAATTTTATACAAATCTTTTGTCAATCCACAAAAACTACTACTGGTAAATCTGTAAGAATTGCCACGGTACTGCACCCTCTTCATTGAAATAATCGCAAAAATGATTTCTGATAACAGCGGAAATACGAGAATTCGTATTTGTTCCACAGGAATTAATATCATTAAAAGCACCATTATTTGTAATTATATGTCTCCATTGTCCCGGTATTATATCATGATTTTCATCTTCATGATCAACCAATTCCGGATTTCCATAATTTCCTGAGTTATTAATATTGCTCTTTCGTAAAAAATTATGCAAGCAAATTGTTGCCTGAACTATCTTAATCACGTTTTTTACAGATGCTAGGATAGGTTTCCTGAAAATTCTCCATTGACTAGCCAGTATTCCGAATGTATTCTCGATCATCCTTCTAGTTCAACTCAATCGATAGTTGTAAATCCGCTGCTCTGTAGAAAGCTCATTTTTTCCCGAATATGGTCGAAGTAAGTAAGGAGTTAAGGGAAACGTTTCATTAGCTATGATGACGTATGGCAGATCAGGTCCATCTTCTCAAAGTGGCTTAGGCGCTGGCAAATCCATTGCATTGGCTTCTAATTTTTGGCCAAGTATCGAATGTTTAAATGCCTCCATCACTTTGTCTACCACAAGCTCCAATATCTACAGAGACAAACATGTAATTAGCATCGCACATTGCTAACAGCACAATACTATGAGCTCCTTTATAGTTGTAGTATGCAGATCCACTCTTATTAGGACACTAAAATAACACAAGGTGAGTTTTGTATTTGATCAGTTATAATAAATTAAATATATAAAACACATGCACATCAATCTATACATACATATTATCCACTATAATTCAGTAAGAGTAAAAGTTGTTAATATTAATACACACTTGAATCGTTATGTGTTTTCCATCCAAAGCTCCTATACAATTTGGAAATTAACATTTTTCATTGAAATCCTCGGAGACTGCTAGCCATTCGGCTTCAATATTAGACTTCAAAACCATAGGACACAGGATATTCTATATGACTTGACATGTTTCATGAATAATGTTGCATACAGTTGTAATTCCCAACAAATACTGATATGACAAAGATGTCATACTATCACCAGATGCTAAAAATCTGAAACATCGAAAAGAAATCTATGAAATATTTGAATCCAATATTTTTAAACTAAAGATGTAATGCTTTTTGCAGAATTGTGAATGTCACGTCCGGGGGCGCGTGAGTGCGGATACCCCTCGGACGCGGCGTGGGCCCGTCCGACGACGGCTCGGCGTGATTCTCGCCCCGAGCGGCAAAGGCGGTAATCACGGTTAGCGAGGTTACGAGAGAGATAACGATCACAAAAGATTAAAATAAAAAAACTAGTTCGCATAGTTTAAGACGTTCTTTTATTCAATGTCTTCCATACGAAATCACGCGTAGTGGTAAATTGTCCGGTGACGGCCTCAATTTTTAGGACCGTCGGCACCGGTCTCGCGGGTAGAGGCGGCGGTGGCGGCGGATCCTGAGAGTTGCTAGGCACGGGATGATAGAATCCCGGGGCCTGGACTATGCGCGGATCCGTGAATTCACGCGGGTCGAATTTTTCCCGCCAATGATATTCGCGCTGCATCCGTTTAAGTG